AGCACTGGCTTGTAAATCGGCTGGTCAAGTCATGGTATAGGCCACATAAGCGTTCAATACGCCACTACGATTCTGAATGAAAGGCGAGTGCGAGGGCGCATTCCTCAGACGGGAATGGTTAGCGCACCAAGACTTTATTCTTGGTTCCCCGTCTGGTACTCTGGCGCTGCTGAGTTTACTATAAACTACATTATCTCAATCTCATGGTGGTTGTACTGTTACTGTGTTATCATTCTTTATAAGTGTCGAACCCTCCGAGTCTCATTTTCATCACGAAGGTATGCAAACGGTGTAGTGATAGCCAGGACACACCGCTACTTGCTGAAGTTCCGATCAGCTTCCAAGGGACTTCTCATTCTCCATCCATCGGCGCGACATCGTCGTGAGTATAACCAATCCGCTGGTGATGAGAGCGCTCCCTTTTGAATCGTAGGCTGAGAAGTACTCCTCTATTTCCTTCTTCACACTTTTCATTCAAGAAACTATTGTTTTATGATCACTTAAATCTATAAATATCATCGCCGTCCCTTTTAGCAGCATTCAGTCCTCCACGAGTGTTAGCTATTCATTTTTGAGCTTCTTAAAAAATGAAATAAATAAAGGCATCTTTTTGTATGTATCGTGAATGGGGATCTTCGCTAGGCTCCGAATCCCAAGTTGTTATGCAGCTTGATAGAAGCGATTCCTGGGTGTCCTGTGATTGGTCGAACGTTAATCAATTTCAGGCTTATGTAGATCACAAGTGCGCTTATTTCTCTATGGAAAATAAGCAAATTCATCTGAAATAGCCATAAAGTGTTTTTCATTGATCTTTGCTGAACTCCCGTGAGTATTTGTGTCTCGAAGTTCTTCACTTGTACCTATTGTGATTGAACGATTTTGTTGAGTGCAGTGGTTTCCCGTGATTACGTGTGATCGCAGAAGTTGTTTTGTTATTAATGCGATGGTTTACTTTCTAAATGATATCTGGTAATAAAGTGTACTTTACAAAGATTTTTCTGTTCCATGAACGTTACATTACGTCCAGTATATCTTGTGGATCATATTTGCTCATGCATAGCGATGTTGCATTTGGCAGTCACCACGGCTGGCAGACCCCGTTACGTCAGAGGCGACCAACTGAACCCGCGCGCTCGCCTCACCGTCTCCTCCCTCTGAGGCTCCCAGTAAGAAAGTGTAGTTTTAGGCATCCTTCATGTCACGTTTTACATTTGAATATGTAAGGGCATGAACAGGCAGTAAACAGCCAAAAACACCTCATTTAGCTGATTTATGTCATGCTATACTATACATCCCTACGGTCATGTAGAAGGGTACTGTACTGCCAGTCAGGACCCTAAAATCTTAAAATTTCGGGTCTAACCACCCAACATCACCATTGAATCAGCATGAAATTATAATAAGGTGCAGAAGAACGTGCTTCTAGCCTGTCTGCAGGAATTCTGAATTGCCCTCTGTTGTGTTCTGTGGGCCAAAAAGCGGGCCTCTACCTATTGCTCACTGAATGGATGCATGCCGGGAATTTCCGGTGTCAGTGAGGATGTTATTTTTCCTGAGATTCCTCAAGGATTCCAATGATATCTTCATTCGGGAGATATTTCCCGAAATCCTTACCTTGAAATGTTCTGAGTGCAAAATCCACATAAAGACGTTGAAAAAACGCTAAGCTGAGAGATGTCGCTTTGGCACGAAAGTGATTATGGTAATCGGGAAAGACGTGATGTTAATGGGATTAGTGGCTTATGTCACGCAAGGAAATCTGGCTAACTGGAGTATGGCTATTATGAAGTGTCGATTTATCCAGGGGGTATTTATGTTCCACAGAAAACGGGGATTCATCAGAGACAAGCCTCATCTTACTAATGAAGCTGTTGTGTTCATTTTTGACGGCGATACGTGTCAAATGAATGCATGCATTCATTTTCATATATGAATCATGCAGATATGTAAAGAAGAATTATGTACATGTTGAATGAACCAGAATAAGGACCCATTTGTCGTTGACGTGATGTGTGTTGTGTGTGTGCGTGTGAGTTGTTTACAGGGTTCCGAGTAAACACCACACGTCTATGACGTGATTTGGGAATCGGCAATTGTTGCCATTGGTAGTAGTGGCAGCCCCCCGGGCTCGAGGGAAGAGACCAACATGCCAGTGTGGTGGTGGTGGTGGCGGCCCGTGTTAGCTCATCGATAGGGCTTCACATGGCTTATGCGATGACGTGGATGTCGACGCTGCTCTGACGGCAATTAGGTAAAAGCTTGTGCATCAGTTTTTCGCAACTTTCCCACTCGTGAACTCCTTCACATGGCCACCCAAGTACTTCTTCAACAACACAACGACTCATCCCTAAGCCCGACTTTCACATCTTATTGTTAGGTGAGAATAGGAATTATTTATAGCCATGTGTTTACTGAAAGTGAGCGAGAAGACAACAGTGTTCCTCCTTCNATTTCCATCGTGAGGTGGGGTGGGGGGTTATTCCTCATGAGATCTGTGCCGCCGCCGAAGATCGTTTCTGACAGCTGTCACATTTCTCGTGCAGTCGTATTCAAGAGTTAGTGATAGGCCCAAAAGCATAACAAAGTTGTATACCCCCTTTTTAGTATTACCAGTTGAATATACCAATTAAAACGTAAACACCAGTACCAGTACCGAGGATTTTCCATATACTAGTAATGGCATTTAGCTCCAATGCTGTGCGCGAATATCTATTTGACAGAGTATCGATTCACGGGGCGGCAGGGCGTGGCTACGGCCAAGGCGCTTCACAGTCTGTGCGAGTTTCGGGGAGTCCACTAAATCTGCATCAGTCACTGTTTTTACGTGGTAAGTTCTGGTGGTCCTTTATATAGTACTTTCAAAGGTTTACGGTAATAGGTACGGTAAGGTAATGTGTGTATTTTAGCGAGAATTACGAACGAACAGTTCCATTGTCGACGTCGAGTGTTGGCGTACGTCGTCGTCGTCGTCATCGTCGTCGTCGCTGCACACTGCACAGCCCCATCTGCCATCGTGCAAGTGCGGTCTACTGCCTCATGATCGGGACAGTTTCTGGCCGACGACACGCTAGAAGCACTCGCTTACATGTGGGACGTGCTGGACGGCCGTTCGCTGACCGCCGAGGCTCTGGCCCGTGCAGCTGTTGTCGTCGCTGTCGAAGTGCTTCTACTTGGCACTTCATTTCTCAATATATGCGTCATATTTACCACTGCCGACTTGTACGACGTGATCGGATGTTATTTGGTAAGTCCTCTACACCTTTGGTCTGGCTTATGATTGGCATCAGAGATCGAAATCACGTCATCGTTTCACCTATACTGCCCCTAGCTAAGCCCTCTTAGCGGTGACTAACTGAGACTAGGCAATTGCTCTTTCATCTTTTTTTTTTGCATCTGATTGGAAGATATTTTTGCACCCTCTCGCTTAAGACTATTAGTCTCATCTACCTCCCGCACTATGATGTAAAGTAGGATAGACTTTTTCTGAGCAGCTTAGCACATCGCAATCCCCCCTTTTAACACTTTTAAGCGTTTCTCACGTTGCTTAACCGAGTAGTTTCAGTCCAGTTCTCCTCCTGGGAAGTGTCTTTTATTTCGCTGTGTGAGAGGCTACCGTAAGATTGATATCTCTTCTTATATACCTGAATTCTTTACCTCTGAAGCTTCTCCTTTCCTATAAATTTTTGAAATTCCAGGCATTTGGAGTGACATAAGCACGGGTATAATAGTGGAACCATATTTCTGTCTGTTAACATTAAGTTCTTGAGAGCCTTTGAGCCGTTGCTGTTTCGAAAAAGTAATTCTGTCGAGAAAATCGGTGCAAACATTGTTTTGACACACCCAAGTCACCAGTCAGCCTCCAATACTTATATTGGAATCGTAGGTAGTAAAGAAGTCCGTGCTTTACTAGTTTGATGTCCGTGCTTTGAGACATAAACATATATGGCTTACCCTGACAACGGCGCATGAAATGTTTTTGCTCTCAAAAGTGGTGTAATCCTCAGCGAAATCTTGGGCCCGTACTAGCACCTATCACAACAATTATGACGATTAGAGTTTGCTTATAATTATGTGTTTTAGATATCTCTATCGGTTGCGGATCTGTTGGCAGCGTTATTCATCGTACCGCTCAGTTTGTATAGTACGTTGGATCCAACTTGGCGATTTATGGGCGACAATTCTCTTGTTTGTAAGGGTAGCGCCTATCTTCAAATCGCATTGTTTTGCTCCACCGTCTACACATTTGCCTGGATTTGTATCGATAGGTAAGTGTTCTACCTTAATCGTTTCATAAAGTTGCTTTTGGGACTTGAAATTGAATGAAGGGGTTCATGACATTCTGTCGACTTTGTTCTGACTGTTGCATATTTACGAACTGTGGTGGTATGAAAATGCGCTTGATGGCTTCCGATTTCCGAGTTTATTCGGACAGGGTGGGTCAGGGTAAAGGAAATGTTGCATATTCACGTTCTTGATGGATCTAGTCTTTGCTCGTATTCCCGTTCGCCGCTTTCCGCAGAAACATAGTGATTGTTAAGTGGGTAAATGAATACGGCAAAGTTCCGGCTACCGCTATATCCATCAAAGAGGTATAAACATGACGCTATGCCAAACAGGGATACAAGGAAGTAGAATATCTGAGTAGCATCGAGGTTAGCGTAATATCAATAATTCAAGAGCTATTTCAAGCCTTGAAAACGATAAACACGTAAAAAGTACCTCGTTGGTGCCTCACCCACGTTTGAATGGGATATTTTCTTTTACTTCAGTGGATTTTATTGTAGCATCCATAAAATTGCTATTCTTACTGTAGCTTTTCCTGATTCTGATATGTGTTTTTAGAGTTGAAAGGATTTAGTGAAGCTCAAGTAATTACAGACTGCTTCATACTAGTTTCACGTTGTTTTCATAACTAATGTAATGTAATGCCTTTGAAGATTAGCTAACATAGTAAATAAGGATTTGGTCATGATTCCTACTATTTTTCTTTTGTTGTTTACGCCATGAAGCCCGATAGGGCACACGTTTTGATGAAATGACGCCCAAGAAACCAGTCTTTCAGAGGGAATGGATTAGTTTCTGCCAGAGTACACACGATAGAATAATTTCATGCTGGATCATCCGAAAGCCCCTTCTGGAAAACGAAAAATGTTGTAGAAGGGGCATATGTAGGAGGACCTAATACCAACCATCTTAAAATAGGTGTTTACCAATCGATAATTGCTCAATCCTGCCATTAATTATATAATTTTGTAGGTTATCTAGCTGTCACTTGCAATTACAAGAGTGGCAGGTAGAGATATCTTAATTGTTTTACACCGTTGGTTAGATTTGCGGTCTATTTGCTTGACATCGTTTTTTGGATTTGTTCCATTCTCCGTTTGTTGTCTAAGGATTGAAGTCAAAGTTTTTCACCAATCTATGTCCTATAGTTTGTGCAGAATATGCATAAAGCAAAGGAAAGATTACAAAGAGATTTGATCGCGAGCTTTTAAAGCAGGGGAACTGAAAAAGGTCGTACTGGAAACAGCTAGTCTTACTTTATGGATTACCATATGATTACTGAGACGTTGGGTCCGCTGAATGTAAATATATGAAAACGAATTCGCCCCAAATTGGCCAGTATTTAGTGTTGATAATGCGGAACAATCTGAGCATCAAGGACCTTTTCACGATAGGATGAATGCTTGACTTTTTGTCCTTCTCAGGACCTGATTCAGGGTAAACATCCTAGTAGGGGAAAGTCTGGTTGATTTAATCGGTGCATTTTTGAATGGCCAATATCACCTTGCATAAGTTTGTACTCTTTTTTTTTTGTCAAAATGTTTTTCTTACTTAACTGTTTTTGTTATGCAGGTATTCCGCAATGATGAAGCCTTCGCGATATGCGGATCAATCTCTTACACGGTGTAAATGTTGGATTGTCTTTAGCTGGATTACTTCTCTTCTATTGTGCTGTCCAATAGTTGTTGCACAAATGCAGGTACGAGTTTTTTTTTTCTTTCAGTTTTTTATCATTGACTCTTTTTGAACATGATTTTTTATGTAAATGATCAAAAGATTTGTTAGATTCTTGTAACTTTTTTTTNTTTTTTTTCTGTAAACCTCCGTAGATCTGGGGTACCTTGCTCCTTCGAATCATTTTTGAAGATTCGAAGAAAAATTAAAATGTGGCATATTCGAGGTCCTATGGTGCAAGTTGAGGTAGTAGGCTACTTCCTGAGTATGCATCCACTGAGTGGCCCTATTTTTAGCCTGTGTATTTGTGATTGGCAGGCCACTTATATATGGTAACACTTTCCTGAAACGGGGCTTCTATAAATAGTAAACAACTTATTGATGGGATTGTTCTATTTTTAGAATCTACAAACATTCATTCATGAAGGTCTGCTTTTTCGATGTTTATACTGCGCAGAAGTAATTAGGTCTACCTTTACTAGAATTGTCCTGATGGAATGATTGTCTCCGTTTCGTTCGAAAGTATTTGCATGCAAGGGTGACCCCCACTTGGAAGAAATCGTTTTCAACAAAATAAATTCTGAATCGTTTTTGAAGCCCTTCTTTTGAATGCAGTTGTTCGATTTGAAATCGCCCTTGAGTATAGATGGTTCTCAGGCAACTAAGTCTTCTTGATTGATTCCACTGCATTGAGAGTTGCTATCGAAAGCTCTTACGGAGGTTCGGGGCAAGCGAAAATAAACGCCATCCCACGGGCCTGATCATTAAAAACATGCACTTTTCCAAATATGGTAATGAAATGTGATCTCTTTAATAATTAATTAAGCAAGTTATAGTAATTAATTGCTATGCTTGCAAAGTGATTCATATCTGAAATGTGATATATGACCTGGGGCAGTCGATGTGGTCTCGACAGGAAAGAGATTTGGTAGACTTGGCATTTCGAATGATAGCGTGTCGTGTCATAGCCATGAATGTAGCAATTAGATTGCTTCTTGACGCTGTGTGTCATATGGTTTCCTTGGATGAGGTGAGCGCAATTAAGTATTCTCTGTCGACCAAAGATGTGTATGGGAATTGTGCGTAAAACGCGTATATGTATCTGGGTTCTCTTTTCCTTCCTCTTCGCTCCCTGGGGAGTGACGTGATGCAGGCCGGCATCGATTTCCTGCGGCAGGCTACACGTATTAGCGAATTGCTTGTGGGAGACAAAGCAACGGATATTGCCAAACGGGTATTCTTTGGGGATTCTTCACTTTGAAGCATCATGCTAAGGAAAATTCATAACAAACAACTCTGAACTGTTTACGTAGTCTCTGAACTGGAATTTACGTATACAAGATGGTAATAGAGGTCAATAATTGTTTGTTTAGGTAGTTTTTCTCGAAGAAGCTCAGTTATGCGTGCTTGACTGGTCTGCTACATCAGCTTACAGCATGACCTTGCTCGTTCTTGTATTCCTGCCCACAATTGTTACAGTATTCAATACAGGATATAAAATCATNTTTTTTTTTGTTTCAACCATGGCATTTTAATGGATTGCCATTAGCAATTTTAATCAGGCTGATGTTTCTTTTCTACGTAAATGTCTTTACGCGAATGTCCTCCTCCGAAAACACGATTAGGTTAGAATATCCTTCGTATCTTACTATATTGCGTCTGTTTGTGCGGGTGTGCCGGAAATTGGATTCTGTTGAGCTTCATCAGACCCGGTGATTCGATCTGGCAGAGAAACAAAGAACCATGTGTTTACAACAATCGTTTCAGCTATTTGGCTGATGCTTGAGGTTGGAGCACTTGTTTTTAAACGCCACGGTCCATGGCTTGTTAGCAAGCACTTATTTGATGAACTGTAAATTTAGTGACCATAGGGTTACAAGGATATTGAATTGCTAAAAATTGCCAAAAGAAGTGTAATATTGTGTTTAATTTTGTTAATTCCAATTCGTGAGTTAAATTTTAAGGTTGTTCACATAATAAGAGTTTATGATTTTCGTTTGTATACTTAAAAAAGGTTAAAAAAGCAGTGCGGACCTATTGCCAGGGAACGAATGCATTTTGAAGATTCCTACATAATCGCTCAAAATCTGTCGTCATTGTCAGTTGGTTACGGTGGTGTCGGTAGTTCGTCTCATTGTCAGATGTTATCCCCCTCATTAAGATAATTGGGTGTCACAGNTCTGCTCTTTTGAGCGTGTTCATTTTTGAGGGAAAACAGGGTTAATTAGTAGCGATGTATAAGAAAAATCCTAATTGTTACTATACCACCCATCTGGTATGGAATGCAGATGAATATAATGGCTTGGTACCAAAATCAGCCGGAATCATTTCATAGCTTTGTCTTAAATTTCAAGAAAATGTTTACTCGTGCTTCCTAAAAGTAAGCGATTTGCTTCTCTTTTTTAAAGTTGTTGTATTCGAGTAGTAATGACTGCCGACAGCCCTAATGGTCCAACAATAAATTTTTATTTCCGTGTTTAATCATTTTCAACTTTACGTCTTGGCTGGCCGTAGGATTTTAGGTTTTACTGGCAGTAATTTGAGTGGGAATGTCTTTGGTTAATGATCAAACTGATTAATTGAACTAGGCTAAAGTAGTAAGCTTATGTCGAACTTTCTTTTCATTCACATTTTTTATTTCTTTATTCATATAAATTTCTGACAGTGCTTTCGAAGGTCTTTGTAATTAACTTGTGCATAAGTTAGCTGTTAGTATCTATTAGTTTTTCAGATACTTTTGTGAATCTAAACTTTATTTGGTAAGGAAGAAACTTTTTGATGTAACAGACTACTACTAGTAATAGAGATTCCTTCTTAGCCGGGTTGTAGGAAAAAACTGCTCTTCGACGATTCCACAATATCTATAATGAAATCTAGATGTTAGATTCGTCGTGCGAGTTTTCGGGATTAACACAGCCTTTCAATCGCGTGATGAGATTTTGCGCCATGCATGCCGGGTAGCTCGTATACCAACCCTATGTAGAAGGAATTTTCGAAAAGTTACGAATTGAAGAGTCTATCAACAAATACAACTGCCCTAAGGGTGTTCTTCCCCACAGCGATTGGCTTATGGGCATTTTTGCTTAATTGTGAGGTTTAGATTATTCAGTCAAAGTAGTAGGCAGTAGTAGTAAGAGGCATAAAAGAGTTTCATTTTGGGCAGAGTGAAGCTATACAAGGCTGTAACTGACCATATTTTCACTATTATAAGGTACCTGGGTACCTGGTATAATCCGTAGTGTTTACAAAAAATTTCGGTGTGAGGTGTTGAGGGATACTAAACATTTTGTACGAGTTTCCAATCCCTTTATTGTGTACATTTACTAAATATTAAAGATCATACGGCCTATTTTTCTGCGTAGGTTGCGTAGCATGTTCTTAGAACTACGAATTTCTTGCAGATTGTATTCTATAGAAATAATTGCATCCGCTCCGAAAACTTGCACTTTTGTTTTTGATTGCTACATACCGATCTACGTAGGCATGTACATGAGTGCATTGCAGGAAGTTTTATTCTTTGGCTTAGTATGCCGAAAAACTTGAACATTCATTGTTCACAATTGCTTTTATTTTGATTATAAGCAGTTGAGAGTTTTGAAAAGCCCGCTTTATGCGCCTAAACTGACCTAGACGCCCGGTTTTTGAGGTTTTAAAACATTACCACCCGAGTTATCGCGGATTTTTTCGGATATTAGCGAATCGGTTGTTGTTTATGAAGCTACATTACCTTTTGGCGAGCGTTTGCTACCTATGGCCCTATTACTGTAGACTGAAAGTAAGGTAGAGTAAGTGTGTACCCGTATGGTCGTACGCCAAGCTCTCAGAGCTGTGAGTTGTAGAAAGATGGAATACGAAGTAGTCAGAGGAGCCTCAGAGATTTTTATGAAGGCATTCTGAGGGAAGGCAGCTTTTCAAAAGCCTCCTAATTGGCCAAAGCTCCGTGCTTGTCTGATTGTGAGTTTGGTGAAAAGAATATCCAGTATATGTGACTTACTTCCGCCTTGGAAAGCGTGAGTGCTAAGAAATTCAAACGAGCTCATAAGAGAGCATGGGAAAGTTGGAATAATCTCACGGAAAGTCTTTGGAGTCTGGAGGGAGGAAGGAATATTCAATGAATTGGTCGTAGGCATTTGATTGCCGAAATCTGAATATGAGAAATTGATAATCCCAATGTCAGAGGAAGAAATGGGGAGAGGGCTCTGATTTCTCGGCACTTCCGATACTTAGGCTTAGACCTAGGCTTGTTTTGGTGTTGAATGTTAATTCCAGTAATGTTGGTTTGGGGATAACTCAGTTATGGAGCACTCAACAAGGCAGGCAATGATGAAAATGTGCATCAGAATGTTTCTGTTATTTTTACACCCTTCAAATCAGTTCTATTCAGCCCTGCATAAGCTGGTACACGGCTGATTCCGTGATGATCAATCTCGCTGTCAGTTGTTTAGTGAGGCTGTAGATCTGGAGCTGGCTGCAAATAGTTAGTGCTAGATTGTGGAGGCTTAGTTTCAAAAAAAATTATTGATTCATTTGTACCACGACATGGGCCTGGCTTAATCTTGTGCCCCTATACGCACACCATTTGTTTGCCAGCATTTCCCTCCATCCTTTTCCGGCACTGAATTCATGACCCATTTTTTTACGTTGCCGGGCTGATTACAGCTCCTCCTCTGCCTTTACTGCCTTTGCTGCAGTAAAAATGAAAAGAAAAATGATCCTGAATTCATGCCTGTGTAGATAAAAGTGCATTAATTTTATGTTTGCACCCTAATGGCTTTCTTTATCCTAGTTGGGTGGAGCGTTGTTTCATTTATGTATTTATAAATTATGGACACTTTCTCGGAAACTTTTCGTCCCGCTTGAGCCACCCGGGTGCTCTACTAAGGGTGTTTTTGGGTTACTTACGAGTAGTAGCCAAGCATTCGACTATCATTGGGAGTTTGGGAGTTGTAGTGGGCGTGTGTGTGTGTGNGGGGGGGGGGGGGGGATGTCAACTGATAAAAAGTTTTTGAACAGTTGTGTATTCGTATATTTGCGACAGATCTGATAGCGTCTATGCGACTCTAGAAGATAGGATGGTCTGGTTGTTTCGGGAGGGTATCGGTTCGGGATTCAATCCTTGGATCACACTAAAGGGTGAAAGAAGTAAAGTCTCTGGGCGTCAATCGATTCCGTCCGAAGGATGCGCCCCCGCATTCGACTTCCATTCAGAATCGTGGTGCCGTATTGAATGCGTATTCGGCCTATACAATGACTCGCGGTTGTCAGCCGATTACAAGTAAGTGCGTTTGTCCTCCCAGATGAGTCTGGTACCAATTGTCCACCCCCGAGGGATTATAGGCTTGATTGGTTTGGGCGGATATCAAGTGGTATGTGAACCCGTGACCATGCGTGTGCATAAGTGTGTACCTTGCCACGACATCACCCCCACCCTGGGTGTGAATTTTACTCGAAGAAAGAACGTAGGCTGTAGGCTTGTAATTTTTGTAAAGTCTCAATAAATTGACGCTTTGACAAGAATATACTTCCTGCAGCTTGACTAAAGATCGTGTTAATTGTAGTTTGATAAATACTTGTTTTGACTACGGAAATAGACGTGCAGTTAAAATGATTCCGAACTACGCTTTGAAATAAGCGAACTTTCGAGCTTTTGAGCGTTCCAACCTTCTAGAGCAGGATAATTCTTTTTTTTTTATTTATATCATGCTGCTTACATCAAATTTTAGTTTTCTTTTCTCACCAGGAGAGGGTCGTCGAGAAAATCTAGCGTAATTGTTAGGAATTAGAGCGATAGAGGGCTCTTACATTTGAGGGCAAGGCCTAGCCGGAGTACAGCGAAAGTTAGAGCTGACTGTCAGTAGCTGGAATCTATGAACTTGAAACCAAAATTTACAAGTTTAAGAGGTTTCTTTTTAATCAGTTCTCGCTTTTATAATTTGTTGGACTCTTGTAATAAATTGAGTTGAGTTTGTTCTATATTTCCTATCTTGGAGGTTTTGTTAACACTTTTTCTTTTTCCCCTCTCGTCCACATTACATTAATTAAATTAATATTTTCAGCTCGAAGACAGCCAACGTATGGTAATTGAGACCGATCCAAATTTCGTGCTCACCATGTTCTTGCTAGTCGCTTTCGTTCTCTCATGGCTGCCTTTGTTATGTCTCAAGGTATTCGAATACTTCATTCCCCCACAGGCCGATGCTGACCTGTCCTTGGTGAGTTCATGGTTATGACTACATTTGTTACTGTGATGTATGGGAAATACCCTTTACTTTAGAAAGTGAATGGAAAATTTTGTGGTTATTCTCGGGTTTTTGTTCACTGCCAAAGGTGTCTCCGAGTAATTAGATCAAAACGCGTTTCGTGGATTGAGAAAAAGCGAAGAAGTAGTACCGAAGCTCGGGTGTGGTCATTAGGTCCGAAATCTAGGGCTGATACCCGACGACAGAAAAACTTCTAGTACTGGATTTTTCGCTATTATTTCGTTGTACGTGTGCACGCAAATTGCAAGCATTTTCAACGACACAGTTTAGCAGTTTGTAGTAAAACCCAGTGGTATCCTGGGGAGCTATATCTCAACTGTGCTATTTTAAGAATTCAGAGATAAAATTACTTGGAGGTGATTGAAAAGCGTACGGTAAAATAGTAAGGGAGACTTCAATCCGAATTAAGCAGGTACGCGCATTACCCTCGCATCTCTGAGGTTTAACAATCTAGTAAAAGTCTTGGTGTACCAGGCAAGTTCCATAACAGAAGACTCTCATCCTCAGAGAATTCTGAGCTTTGTTGGTATCAGGTCTGATCGCATCGTTGATGACTCCGACTGCAAACTGCTAAACTAAATCGCTAGAAGTGCTCGAAATTTTAGTAGACAGGTTCAACGAAACAACTAAGAAAAATCTAGTCTTGATGATTTTCTGCCGTCGTACATCAGGCCCAGAGTCCGGACCTAATGACCACTACTCATACTTGGTCTAGCCTTGAAGTGTCTAGGATGAGCCATGCTAACGGTTATGACGATCATACAGTATGCAAGACATTGTGATCTGAATTGAATATACTTCCGAAAAAAAAAACTTGATTGTTTGAAAAAAAACTTGATTGTTTGTTTTTCAGGCCACATTTATATTTGTGTGGTTGGCGATAGCGGGACCATCAGCCAAATTCCTTATCTACATGTTCATCAATGGAGCTTTTCGGAGCAGTTTTCTGTCATGGAGGCCGTGTTTGACGGTTTGCTGCCCAGTGAATAGACATCAGGATTATCGTGACATCACTTTCAATTCGTATTTGTAGCGAATAGCGTTTTAAGCCACGCCCCAGACCGTGTTGACGGTGGCTAGATGATTTGTAGTTGGAAGACGAAAAATATATTAATCTTATTAAAAACTTTCACTGCGATCTCGTCATTTCTCATACCAAAACAACGATCTCAACTCAGATACTCATTCATTGCTGTACTTGTTGTCGGTAGAATTGTTGTACACTTTTGTTTCCAAATATATAGGTGATATCATTATGTAACGATCGTGATTAGTAGAGCAGAAAATTGTTATTTTAGTTTTCCTTTTCTTAATTATTATTTTTATAAAATTGATTTGTGTTAAATTATGTATATTTAGGAGCTCTCGATATTTAAAAATATATATAATTTTTTTTTGCAATTATCATCATGCATATTGTCGTTGTGTCCAGATCTCATGGAACATTCTTTCTAATATTGTCGACGAATACGTATGGCATTTGTCTGAAACCGCAATTTATAGGGTATTAAAATCCTTTTTCGGGTTCATAATATTCTGCTAGACCTCATTCATTCATTCATTTTTTCTCAAACACTTTTTTATTTCTTAACGTCCACTTTTTTCCGCTTTATAATTTCCGTATTCTTTGCTCATTTTCGTGCTCTTTGCAGACGTAATTCATATTTTTCTTCTCTATTTAATATATTTTTTAATATTAATTTTCCAAATTTTCGTTTGTCTCCTATTTCTTGCTCATCTGGCGTAATAGGCAAATGTGAGACTACTTGAGATAACTGTTTATTTTTACTCTATATTAATATTTCATTTAAATCACATCATTAAGCTACTTCAGTAATCCACTTTGAAAGTCAGAAAGAAGTGGCTCCAACGTGTACTTGTATCATTTTAATCTCTCATTTCATACTGTCTGCCACAGAGTTTTGCTATATTTATTGGATGATAAATATTTTTTTCTTTTTGTTTTTTGGTGGTTAAAAAGCGTCTATTTACGCTGTTTCGGTGATTACTTGCATGAGTTAAAAGGTCATTAGATTTTACTCGGGTATGTATGACTGTGAACTTGAAAATTGAAAGCTTATCTGGCTTCTTTGCTTTTGGCAAAGATCCAAGTTAGTATTATAGTTTAGACCTATACAAATAAAATGTAGCGGAACCTGCGCTGGGTGTGCTTCTTGGTTGTAGGCACCCGGATGGCGCTCAAGGGGCTATCTACAAGGTTGCATCCGGGTTGTAAGGTACATGGGAGCTCCTTAGCTGGCGTTAGAACTACAACCGAGGGCTATGGGACCCTTCTTTTTTCCTCACGTGAGGAATCATTCCGGCATGACCTTCGTAACGTTCGTCGATTTCTTTCAGAATCGGATAGCCTATCACCGTCACAGTTCTAAGGGTTTACTGGTAACCATCGTCAGCTGGGGCCGTAAGGTATGCTCCCCCGAACAGGGGAGGGTCCCCTTCCCGGTAAGGTATGCTCTCTGGGACAGCAGAGAGATAGTTGCTCTCGGGAAGAGCAGAGAGCTCGAACAGGAGAGCATACCTTACGGCCCCTGGTAACTAGTTCAGGGAGCAGTGTCCTAATTAATGCTTTTCGATACGTAGGAGTGGAATGGAAGCTCAAAATCCAGATTTTCTACAAATTTTGAAGGGATTCGAAGGGACTTTCTTACTGGCCTTGACCGACTTTTCCCTCATATTAGATATGGTTTTACATGGAAAAACAAGTAGAAAGTGAATCGTGACAAAAAAAAAACACTCAAAAAAATGCGAATCCGTTTTTGCTTCTTTTTTCAA